TTTCATGATGATATTTTCAATTCTCTAATTTTGGTGAATATTTTTGTCATTTTTGGTAAAAAGTGACATTTTCGAATTCTTGTTGAAAACCACTAGTCTGATTGCTTTGATACTATACATATTGTTCATTTGCTAACAGCGAAGCTATCTCAGTCGACAGGCTGCTTGTTTAGAACATACCGATAATGAGTGGTACAGATGCTCACCAGACATCAGCTAATACATTTTCAAAATGTCCTAATTTTGTTCAATTATACCAGACAAAGTGTCTTCTGTTAAATGTAGAGTTTTCCACTCAAAATATGGCAAATAATTAATAATATTTTGTGAAGCTAGTTGTCTTTTTGGACAAAATGACGTAAGCTAATGTTAAGACCACTGAACCCTTGCATAATTTATTATGCCTGACAAATTAATTAATACATAGTATGGGAGGCTGTCTTTAAAACCATCTTCTTGGTTGATATGTTGCCTCTCACATTGTACTTTCTAGGTCTTAATTTGGTTTTTCATTGGTTTTAAAATAGGTATAAAATTAGTATTATATATGTATGGGTTTCCGTCGTTACTGCAGGTACTATGAGTCGAATTGGTATGTATGTATGTGAACTGGACATGTCGTTGGACAACTGATTTTCCCATCTGTACGATGTCTGGAATTCCTGCTCAGATTTGCTCAATTACTTCTTAATATAATGAGGAATTGGGCGATCACACTTTCATCAGTGGTTATAGTGCATCCTGCATTGTTAAAAATTAGCATATTTAGATTAGCAATGTGCTATATTTACCGGCCAATCAAATTCACCAATCTTTTAAAGGTGAAATTTTTGCAGCAAGTCCACGCATAGTAGAGTGGGGGTAACCAGTGAACCGTTGCCTAGATACCAGGTAACTGGATAACTTGCTAGGTCAGAAAGTTAGACAGAACTTCCTTGCCAATGTAAACTGTCTGCGGCTTAGATGAGGTCATTCATACGTGCCAAGATTGTTTGCCATACTACACTGTGTTTTCTTTGCAGGTGTTCACTCGGTAGCATATGCCTTCCCTAAAGTAAAGATTGTCACCACAGCTGTGGACAAGGAAGTAGATGTAAATTTCCATATCCTACCAGGAATCGGTAAGCGTTCTGTTCATGTGTTCAATATATCTGAATTATAATCGATGCAACTATTCATTGATTTGTAGTTTTATTGGAGATGTGATGTGATGTGCAGTAGTATTTATCTCATTCATTGACTTAACCACTTAAATTAATGTAGGGATGACATCATTGTATTCGCCTTAGAAGAACCTCCAGTGTTTTTCTTTGGCCCGTTTTCAAGCATGAGGGTTGTAAACCACATGTAACACCTACCAATAAAAAAACATTATGTTAAAACAAATTTTGAAACAAAATAAATATAACGGGTAGATATAACTGATATGCAAATTAAATTACACTGTTTATACGAATGCACTACCATATTTGGACATTTACATGTTTGATGTGAATTTGACTTTTTCTTCGATGGAAGGAAATGATAATGAGTAAATTTGCTAAAGTTAAAAATGTAGAAAGTGTTCTCTTATTGGCTAGATATTTCAAGTGTTACTTAGCCAATGTGAAACAGTTTTATACCACTAACGTATTCTTTATCTATTCTTGCAGGTAATTTTGGTGACAGATATTTTGGTACAGATTGAAGAAACTAGAAATATTTAATATTACTGTATTTTACCAGAGGTACATTACTTGGGGTTTGCAACCCAACGGTGACATGATACCAAGATCCCATCACAATCTCGCTCTCGCATAAGCGTTCCAACTCAGAAAAATGAAGAATGCGCATGCCCGAGGTAACTAGGATACTGGGATGTCCAG